TATATATATATATATGCATGTGTATGTATGTGTGTGTGTGTGTGTTTGCATGCGCACGCAAGCATTTTGTGAATTTTCCACATTTCACCAAAAAAAAAAAAAAGGTAATGACTAGATCATTAAGGGTACAAATATGGGAGAAAAAATTGAGTTTGATTCTGCATTCCACGAGTCAAGAATTAAACTGACATCCATATTTAAACAAAGACCAGAACATTCTTGGATTTGGCCAACCAAACTCATTCCAAGTTTCAGTCAGGTTTAGCAGGCGAAGTTATTTTTAAGGAAACCAAAAAACTACCACTGTAAATATATTTCAAATATACGATTCAATAACCAAGTATGTTGTGGTTGAACAGTAGCCAATTAATATACAAAAAACCAAAAAAGGTCAAGTAGTTTTTTCTAGTAGTCAAGAACTAAAAATTGCATGATCAACATACCAGACACCATTTGAATCATCCTCTGGATCACACAGTGGAGGTTGAACTTCAGGACTGCGACTAAGATAGCAAGAGTTTTTCAAAGGCTTCTGCCATATAGCAAGATATCCCTCTTTCTTCACCAGCTCCCAACAAATCCGAGCTGTAAGGTTCTGCATCTCTAAACAAAAGGACGGTCTTTAGTGACTTGCAAGAGAATCACAACATAGTTTCGTTTGGGAGATCCAGTAGAGAAAATGAATAACATTACATTTTGAATGTAAAGAACGCTAAATCAAGTTCTCAATAGAAGCATATTAAAACAAATAATGTCATCAACCTAAAAATAAGGGAGAAAAATAATAAACATTTAATCTCTCAATCTTAAGTGTGAACTACATCAACTTGATATCAAGAATACATTTTTGAATGAAAACCTCGAGTAAGAAGTGTATATAGAAATCCCACAAGGACTGAAAAATGACTCAAACATTCGGTTTGTAAACTAAGAAAGTCACTTTATGGCCTCAAATAATTTTCAATAGCTTGCTTTGACAAATTTGCCAAGACTATGAGATCTAATGGGTACATCTAATGTCAACCAGGTCATACATTATTCATAAAGCATACACAGTGAGGTAAAAAAGTTATACTCATTGTCTATGTAGATGATATGATTCCGACAGAAGATAATAAAAAAGATATTGAGAAGATTAAGGAGATTATTATCACTGAGTTTGAAATTAAGGATCTAGGAACGATGAGATATTTTCTAGGCATTGAAGTGGTCAAGTCCAAGATGGGTATTGTGATATCCCAAAGAAAGTATATTCTAGACCTACTAAAAGAGACAAGAATGATGGAGTGCAGACTTGCAAAGACTCATATAAATTTTGACAAATGTTATATTTAGGGGAAGAAAAGACATTAGTGGAAAATGATAGATACCAGAAACTAGTGAATAAGCTAATCCACCTATCACACACCCATAAAACACTGACATGGGCACAGAGATACGGACACGACACGATACTAAAATATAAAAAAATTTAAAAGAATTCATAAACTTATACTCCAACTTATCTACTAAAATATAAAAAAAATTATGATTACAGAAAAGGAATAACTAATGCTCGACTTCTACGAATATTGGATGCACCGTCAATGTTTTATTTTGACAAATGTTATAGGTAGGTTCAACATGACGAGAGATAGGGTGATTTCTCCTATGAGAAATAATTAAGGCTATATATATATTTATAATTTTCTAACTCCCATGTCTCATTTTCTCAAAATTGTGATAAGTTTGTCTCTGATGCGCTGTTGAGGTGTGTTCCATACTAGTTCGGATCTAAAAAAAAATTAGACAATTATTTTGTAGTGTCGGGGCATGTGGGGCATGTCG